TGGAAGGTGTCCCTGCCCATGGCAGGGGGGTTGGAACTAGATGGTCTTTAAGGTCCCTTCCAACCCAAACCAGTCTATGGTTCCATGATACACATATTTTGAGACATGAGTTTGACTTCAGAACAGAAATTCTGTCATTAAATTATTCTGAGTTTCCAGTATGCTTACCTGTAAGGCAAATCAATGAAATGGGCAACTTATTCCTTGTTAAACAAAGAAAAAAAATTTTAAAAGTCTATTATGGTATTACCAGGTATTATAGATAACTATTTTAAACTGGTCTTACAGGCAGAGTATTATTTTTTTTTTATTTAAACAGGCTTACCCTTTGTATTCAGTTTTTGCACGCATTGTTTCTCTCACATACATACTTTCTTACTGCACACGAGACTTTACTGTCATACTACTACCTAACGAACAGCAGTCACCAGGGTTTTGCTCCCTGCATGCACCGGGAAACAATACCGTGTGGCTATTGAAGGTGATGAGCCTGTCTCACAGCACTCTGGGGGCTCACGCTGGGTGAGTGATGCAGGAGGGGAAGGAAGAGTGAGCACCAGCACTATGAGCAATTCTGAGCAGGGAGACACCCAGGAGACAGACACTGCAGGATGCCTGGAGAATCAGCCCCACCGTGCTGGGGCCCACAGCATGATCACACCTCAGTGAGAAGCTCAGCACAACAGTAGCTTCTGTGTTCGTGATTTAGTACAATAAAGAGTTGGGGATTCTCTAACCCACCTAAAACAGGATTCTAATAATTAAACTTTCTTGAACCTACACTGCTCTTAAGTCAGTTACAAGAGAAACATGATTTGCCATTTTAACATTTTAGACCTCTGGAACTAACAGAGATCTTGGCTTATGCTTGGACGTGCTTACGCCTACCCTTCCTCATCAGACTTACAACAAGAAATCCAAATAGCACCTCTATATTTTAGCAGAGTCAGAAACAGATGAAGTGCTACTCTTGCCAGCCCATCTATCTGTGCTTTGTTCAGTGTGCATGGGGAAGGGGAGTTGTTTCTTTTAAAGCAAACAGGTTTGTAAGTTTACCTTTTCCATACTCAGTACATGAATATGTGTATAGTGTTGACCAAGGAAAGGCCCTGTCCAGCCCAATGTTAAAGGAGCACAATTAATGAAACAACTATTACAGAGCAACAGCTAACATCATCTCCATTTCCAGCAAGTAAATCAATAGCTCCTTTCACAACAGGTTTCACAGACGACCCAACCCCAGGAAAGCCATGCATACTTACAAATTATAAAGCATATCAGCCATGTTGCTGCGGTAGTACAAGGCATTTCTATAGGCGCTTTCAGCTTCAGAAATCTTGCTCTGGCTCTTGAGAACATTTCCAAGGTTACCCCATGCTGTCAAGAGGAGAAAACAGTATTCAGAAAGAGCTACAATCCAATTACACATGACAGAGTATCCGAGTATCAGCAAGTTCCTTAGGGAAACAAACTCCACAAAGAAACTATTTTTATGGAAGGGAAGGTTGGTTGGGTTTTTTCCCCCCAGTTCTCTGGATCTCTGCATCTTGCTGTGAGACTCACATTACATGGCGGTGATTTGCATACATTCTGCATATAGTTTTGGGTGGGAAAGGGACCTTGAAGAACAAAATATGTCTCTCTGCATTAGAAACTACTATATCAAATGGAAAGGAATGTTTTATTTTATATCACCTCTACATAAAAATCCCCACAGTAGAATGTGGAACTAGGGCATCTGCATAGGTTTACCTTCTTTTTTTAATCTTATCTACTCTAACCAGCAAGAGATTTTCCAAGAGCAGACACAGCTCTCACTGAAGCATGAAAAGTGACAAATGGCATAGCAATTAAAAGAATGGTTAGGTAAGTAATGAGGATTAAAAGTTATGGATATGAACACACTACACAGATCACTAAAATGCATTTTGTCTGCTTGGAAAACTTGTGGTTCCTTTCCGTACAATTTATTGTATTATACAATGTGCTTTTATATCCCAGCTATAAAGGACTTGAGGTAAAAAAATATTTAAGGTTCCACATGCGTTCCCTTTGCAGTTTTGTTGAGTGGCATAAAAACTGTACTTACAAAAGAAACTGGAACTAACATTTTATAGAAAACACAACCCATGTTATTCACCATTTAGAAAGTTATTTAACTGGCACTGTAATTACAGTCTATGTGTACACATGCAAAAAAAATGCTTATAAATACATCAAAGTTGTTTCATAAAACAGTTCTACTTTCACAAGTATTTTTTATAAGCAAGAATAATGGAAAGATGATGCAAGTGCTTTCCACCAAACACAATATATGGCAAACTGTTCTTCCCTCCAGATGCACTAACCATAAACATCAGCTCAAGTAGCAGCTAAACCCTGCTTCTTCAGTTACTCTAGCCCTTATTTTTTTACAGGAATTTGTATCAATCCTGAGTAAAGCAAACTTTAAATGTATTTTTAACATAACACTGTTAAATAGTTGATAATTAGATAAGTGTTTTCCCTTAGGAAGTGCATTGCTTTCAAATGACTGTGGTTTGCTGCAGAACCATCCCGCCACAGGGATGGAAAACAACAGCAAACACAGCATTTTCCTCTAAGTTGAATAAATTAATCATTGCTAGGAAAAACTAAAGGAATCCTTTTAGGATTCACAAAAATAATGTCATCCAACTGTGCACAATGTTATTTTGTAAAGACAAAGAAAAAAAGAAATATAATATTTCCATGGGAAAAGAAGCTATCACTTCTGTGAGTCACTTAATTTTAGCGTAGTTTTTTATAAGATGAGAAATAATTCAAAAGTTATTTAACACTAAATCCGCAAATGTCACAAAAATGTTCCATGATTCTCTTGTTTAATGAAATAAATATGCTGAAAATATTCTCAAATTCACTCAATTTTTATAGTCCTTGTTAGCATATACACAGTATTCTGAATTTATTTCCCTGTTACTGCTACTATTCTTTTTTTACATGTAGAAAACATTTTGGAAGCAGCAATTGAGGTGACTAGCCAGCTTGTAAGCATTAACACTTTAAGAAAAAAACATTTTTTTTTTTTAACTCATTTGTGTAAACACACTCTGATGTTGCTTCTGCAGTACATGACCATCCAAATCCCCGCACTTGTATTCCATATAATCTGTAGCTATTTTTGTTTTCACTCCATTCTTCCATAACAGAGCACTACATCAAATCACCATTTGGACTACTGCTAACAATATCCTGCTATGTAGTTACTTGCTCCCAGCTGCTTTGAAGCTTATTAAAAATAAGGATGTATAGAATGATTTGGTTCATCTTTTCATCTGTTAGACTGGAAAACGCCTATTAACAATGTTAAATATAATAGTTTCTGCTCCAGGCTTCATTTCATGCTGTACGCTGTATTATTTAGGTAATATATTCCGAAAAAATTGTCAAGTTTTTAATATCAATCAATATTTAAACTGCATTATTCCATTTAGATATTTTTCTAAACTTTTAAAACTGCAAATGATTAACTTAATGTGATATACTGGAAGAAGTGATAGAAGGAGAAAATAGCAAAAATGAAGCTATAATATTACAATTTGTCATTAAAATAAACATGAAAACCAAAGTCGTCTTACTTCCCAAATCTAAGGAAGTGTAGTACAAATCTTCACATCTATTTAATTACAGAACTAGTTTGATGAACGACCTTGTTGTGGCTGGAGATGAAGCTATATTAAACATTTTGTAGAAGAGATACTTAGTTGCAGAGATCATACACCTAACCCTAGAAGTTATGAACTGCTGTTTTCTCCAGCAACCACACCCTCTTGATTGTTGGTATATGAGGGACAGAAAACAGGATAGTCTAAATGGAAAAGAGGCTACATCAGCTACTCACAGAAATGCAGTCCTTTTTTTCTTAAGTAGTGCAAGTAACCTCAAGAAACGCAATTTAAATTATTAACTACATCTCTGGCATCCAATTTCTCCATCTATATCTCAAGACAAATTTCTCCTGCAAAACTGTAACAACATGGGTTCAACTGTGCACATTCAGAAATAGCAACAAAATTATACCTGGTCATGAAGCCACATTCTTATTAAAATCATACTCTATGACTCCAACTAAATTTCAGCACTCAACTATTTTCCATCTGTACATGGTAAGAAATTAAAAATTACTATTCTCAAAAGAAAAAGAAACTAGGTCAGTAATTCTGGAATTTAGAATGGATTTTGATTTCACTTATTTTAATTTTTTTTAATATAAAATCTGTAATACCTGAAATTGCAAAAAGGAACATTCCATATTCAGAAGATGCTGATCTATAGACATATATACCAGCATTTAATATTTAATTACAAATTCAATTTTTCACCTATTGGAGATCCTAAACAGCACAAGAGAAAAAGCAAGCTGTGAATGAAACAGCTTTGTAATATTTACTTTTTGCCTGCTGCTTAATTCCCTGTGCACCAACAACGAGACCAAAATAGTCCCAGGTCTTTTAGAAATAATATTCCATCACAGCATGGGAACAAAGGTAACATTCACATACCTCACACACCTAGAAAACAGTCAATCCATTCAAAATTTACTTCACTGCCTACTTTTCCATAGATCATACTCACAATAAATGGGATTTTAAAAAAGTAAATCCATTTCATCATGTTGTATCCTAAGACAATTAAAAACTGAAAAATCTCTAATGATTGAGAATTCCTATACTAGTTACATTTCTTTACAGGGAAATGGAACATTTTAAAGAGGTTATGTTGCTGCTGTTGTTTTTAAATAAATAGCAGGTATAAATTACATAGCACAAGTAGGAAAAAACCCAATAGTTTCAGACTTATCATTTTGGCCACATCAAACTAGATTTATATTAAACTTTAAAAACTACATTTATGCCACCTTGCAGCAAGAGTAGGTCAAGTTCTCAGCCATTTAATTGCTTTCAAAATGAAAGTGAGTATGACAAATTTCAGCTCCAAATTTAACATGATTAATTTCTCAATGATCTCACAGAGCGTGAGGAATAAAATTTATCAAGCCTGAAAAATACCAGGTTGGCATACTAAACCTTCTCTAAGCACCTTCATTCTGGAAGACAGCAAGAAGCAGGAACAACATTGTCCAATCTAATCTGCCTGTATTTAAGAAGCACATCCTGCTAGAGAACAGTAGAACTTTCATCTTGCAACTGAATTATGAAAACAAATGAGAAATGAAAATTAATGTGTGGAAATACCTTAATTTAAATAAATCTCTGCCTTTCGACTGAATCAAGGATCATGCTATGCTATTTAGTGAAACAGAAATAAAGCAACAAAGTAAAGTTCCAGAGAAAAGCACTTATGTGGTGTAAAAGCATGTATATTGATTACTTGATAGTTGGCTTTAAAAAAAAAAAAAATTAAAAATCACAAATAATTAAAAAATATAACCCGAAGTATTAAAGGAGGATTCTCCTTCTTTTCTGTCACCCCTACATAATTCATGAAAAATGAGATAACCATAAAAACTATCTGGAAACTCAGAACCTGTTAACCTCTCTGTGTGGTGTAAAAGCATGTATATTGATTACTTGATAGTTGGCTTTAAAAAAAAAAAAAATTAAAAATCACAAATAATTAAAAAATATAACCCGAAGTATTAAAGGAGGATTCTCCTTCTTTTCTGTCACCCCTACATAATTCATGAATAATGAGATAACCATAAAAACTATCTGGAAACTCAGAACCTGTTAACCTATCTGTTAAAAAGCTGCTGCTGAAACATGGAGAGGAAAAAAATCCAACTAAAACTCCCTATTAAATCACTGAAAAAAAACTTGGTAAACTTTTAAAAATAATATAGCAAAGAAAAGGAAAATGCTTTCGCAGTATGTTATGCCAGGGGGCAAACACTGCCTTCTGTAAACCTTATGAGGAGCGAACATACTTGAAACTGATAAATAATAAAATGTAAGAATCAAATTTTAAAATACTGATACATGACAGTCACAGTTCACATCAATAAATTACTGAAGTTTTGTAACCCTGTTCTCACCTTAAACTATCAGACTTATTCATAAAATTAAAGTTAAAACACAAATTGATTAATGCATTAAAAAATGTGAACTAGATTATTACTTGAGCGAAACAAAGTACTTGAACAAAGACTGAAGTATTTAAGGAACAGCCAAGGCTGTTGTAATCAACTTGTCAGCAGTTCCAAATGAGCAACTTGAGCTCACAGAAAAATGCACAAGCCAAGAAAACTTCTACTGAGCTTTACAGATATTTGTGCACTATTTACTGTTCTTCAGCTTGTGAAATTAGCAGCAGAAGTTCCAGGTTGTATTCCCTCTGTTCACAATCTTTCTGCATTTCTCCTTACTCATCTCTGAAAA